GTAAAGGCTGTGTAGTACGATGCCGTATTGGAAAGAAACACAAAAATCCTCTGTAGAATGGAAAAGTCAGTCTCCCAAAAAGACTTGTAGAAAGAAGAAAGTTCCTGTAGGAAAATTACTTTGCTGAACAAGCTAGAATGATTTTAAGAAATATACGAAGAAATACTATTTCCTGTAAGAAGGGGAAGGCATCTATATGTATTGGTAAGTGGTAATCCTTATTAATCATCAAAAATATTTAAATGTACAATTACGGCAACTAAAACTGAAAATAATTAAAAACAGAGAGAAAAATAAACTGTCAGTATGGACATCAGAAGGAAATTAAAATTAATCAATGTATTCTTAGACTCATCTGGCTTAGATTTTTACTCACTTGTTCTTTTAGATCCTGTAAGTTTTTATCAGCATTGTGTTCACGTTCTGTTGCCTCCTGAAGCAGCCGTTTAAGGTCAGTAATGCTTTGGTTTTTTTTAGCAATATCCATTTCCAGTTCCTTCATCTTTGCTTCGTGCATCCTGGTATTAAAATTATTATGGTTATTAATATTTAAAGAGGAAAAGATAAGAGAAAATACAAAAAAATAAAAATCAGGATATTTTCAAAGCAGGTAAGGTGTTGTAAAAGACACCCTAAAATATGTTTGGAGCAGAGGCCTTCAAATAATCACTGATCTTATTTAATAAGTGAGTGAGCTGAATTAAGCATAATGAAATTTTAGTAGTATTTTTTTAAATTTTAGAATAAAGGTTCTTCCAAATGTTCTACCATTGCTGACCTTACACGTTTATACTCTGACAAGGAGTTACAGGAATCCTGTATGGTTCTGCATGTATACACCAGGCTATTTCTTGCTAAACCATGCATGTCTCTTGCTGCGTTAAGTTGGATGATGCATTTCTCAGGTCTGTCTTCGTTGTGATTTAACAATTAATGGAAAATAAATCAATGTAGTACAAAGAAAAAAAAAAAAGCTTAATACAGATGCAGGAGATGCAGACTGAACAGAAAAAGTGTTCACAAAGTGTTCTACGAGGAATGATGTTCTGTCTTGGAGTCTGAGGAGGAATCCATTTTGCTTTGAGCCTGCTACAAAAATATTTGTATAGAAATACGGAAATGTTGATTGCAAGACATCGCTAGAGATATCTATTCCAGTCTTCCTGCTGAAGAGGCTTTTCAGATGTGGATTCTAACCTCTTCCTACATGCCAAACAGTAAAATCCCAACGATCATGTAGGTGATGCCCAAGGACTTTCTATTACCATTTACCTCTGGAAAATATGTTGGTGAGGTGGACTGCATGATAAAGTGCTCCAGTGAGCTTTTCTAGGTTGGTACTATTTATTTATTTCAAAATGTTGTTAATCTTAAACCATGTTAAACCAAATAAAAAGTTTTTATTCACACCATTTGAAATGGTCAAGTATAATTAATCATGATGCTATATTTATATGCATAGGTTTCTCTGAAAGTAATGCTTCCTGTTTATTTCTGTGGAAAGTAGGGAGCTTTCCAACAGTAATGCTACGTGACAGGTGAGACTCTGCTCTACAAAACTATATTTCAACATAGTCACCAATATTAGCTGTGCATTTTTTCTGCCAGTGATGAACAAAAGCCTGCATGGTATGCTTGTACAAATCTGTACCAGCGGAGGTGACCCACTTCACTACTGCTAAGATGCACCACCCACTGCCTCACTATGCAGTGAGCATTTTCACCAAGCGTCGATGAATGTGAATGGGTGCAACTTTTTCCACGCAGAGGAATTCAGTTACATGTCTTTGCTTCACATGCACTCCCTATACCAGATGCTGTTCCTCTGCTGCCATCCGTCTCATGGCAATAAAATCCAACAGACTGTGGGCCAGAAGGTTCAGTTTCTACTTCCATACTACCAGTCTTTGCCACCGGTGTCTTGAGTCAACATAATGAGGCATTACTTTTGGAGCAGCTCTCATGCATACATGTGTGTATACATACAGACATTACTGTCCACAACTACGTACATCAACTAAAAAGAAGTTAGTACAAATGTTTTTCAAAAAAGTGAATAATTAAAAGAGAAACTCTATTCAAACATTAAGCTGGTAACGTAAGGCCTTAAGGGTCTACCCCTTCAACACATTCTTCTTCCTCCTGTGGCTGGCAGCCAGTGTTCCCCTCTTCCTCGCATTAAATATAACAGGCATCTGAACTTGCATGTAGACATTTTACCTCAGTATGTAGTTAGGTAGAAGGAGAAAATAAAGGAACAGCTTTCTAAAGTCTCAGTGAAGTGAAATGGTTCAGCTGTGTGTCAGAGAAGCTCTACAGTTCTGGCAAGGGATCCCACAGGAATACAAGGCTAGAGAGACTGAAGTTCAACAACAAGCTGACCTTGTCTGAAATCAGACAGATGTCTCTCTTGTATGGTTAATTTTCTGCCCTTACAAGGTTGCTGCCAGAGCTAGAAACTATCTGCAAGAAGTTTATCTATCTCTGTTTGTAAACACTGAAGGTTTTTTTGCAGCCTGAACTGACTATGACATCATGTAGAAGCCCAGGGCTAAGTATTTTTCCACAAAAACTTGCTCTGTTCCCTGCCTCTGCAGGATAGATGCTGTTTCTTTCTCCCACTTGCATACGCACTATTTCAATTTCTTATTCTTTGATTTGCCAAGTACAGGAGGTGATACCCAATTAAAAACTTTTCCCTCAAAGAGGGACAAAATTATTCATTCTCCATTTTCACATGTATCTTATATCAGTATTCTGTATCAATCTGTTCATCATTAAACACGCAAGTGAGACACGTGAATATTATCTTTGCATGCAGCTCATTCGTGAAAGCAGGTGTTAACAGTAATGTTTTTGGACTGGCAATGCTTTTGGGGGTGATTGCTCACTAAAATAACTGCTGTAAGCAAACCACAAAATAGTTCAAAGCAACTTGCTTCTATCAAAGAAATGAATGCCATTAAAAGTTGCTCTGTCTGCTGAGTTAAGATCTCCAGTTTGTATAAGTAGCTAGTCATAGAAAAAGCATCGGAACTATCTTCAGAAGGAGCAATAAAATAATAATGCATGTCTAACTTGTAGAGCAGAAATTGGTGTCATAAAACTGCTTTGTTTAGTGTGTGCCACACTGTGATGTAAGTAGTACCTCAGTTTCAGAACAATGGGTAGATAAGAGCGATTAGTAAAGTGTTGTAGATATTCACTATTATTACCAACAGTAATTTTTTATGATTATTTTCAAAGTTTGAATTTTATCTACAAAGCTAGGAAAGGGTGATTCCACACTTCTTTTTACATTGGAAAACATGATCCAGTTTTCCCTTCTACTACAAATAACAGGACTACCAGGCTGACTACATTTCAGGGCCTTCAGAACACCTACGTGTACTTGTCCCAGAGAACACAGAAATCCCAGTGGGCTTACAAACAACCTCTGCACAGCCACATGGTTAAATGTAGATATACAAATGCAACTAGGAAAATGAAGGTTCCCGGCCTCTATCTTCCCCCCCACCACCACTCATATTGATATCCTTTTGCTAAGATACTAAAGTCTGTGTTTTTTATGTTCAGCAAAAATGCTGAATACACATTCAGTATGTTTAAGAAGCAAGGAACACAAAGTCATTCCTCTGTCAAAGCTATTCTGGAGTCCAAAGGTGATCTGAAGAAGGGAGAACACATCTTCTCTACAGAACCAGATAACAAGGCCAGCGCTTAAGGATAGTAGATCTCTGGTGAATTTTTGTACTGATTCTACAGACTAATAGAGTCAGACAATAAGCACTGTCTGAGGAAAGAAAAATTATGAAAATATAAATATGTATTTTTTGATAATATTTGAGAACTGAAGAATAATTTTAATCCATACCTTGCTACAGCAACCGATTTCCAGATTTTCCTGTCAGTTTCATCAAGCTGAGAGCCTGTGTTTTCAGCCAAATTTAGCCTCTTAATGGTTTCCTTCAGCTGTACAGTTAATTTCTCATTTAATATCTCCAAATTGTTCTTTGCTATTCGTAGCTTCTCTCCACTGTCAGCTTCCTGTTGTTCAATAAAAAAAAAAGTTGCATGATACTTAACCTTATATGTAGCACTGCATTACCTAAAAATGTGGTGAGACAGCTGACAGTGTATCATAGATACATGTATCAGACCGCTAGCTTCCAAATTCTGTCTCAGCCTGTTTCTTAGATGTATCCCCTCCACATGAAATTTAAAGTTCTGTAATGGCAATAGCAATTCTTAGAAAAATATCCACCACATTGACCATTTTAAAAAGAAAAAATATACACAGCACAACAAGTAGCTAATGGAAATAAATTATCATAAATCAGATCATATATAAATAAATATCATCATATATAATCATAATATAAATAAATAATCACTGCAATGATCATACCTTTTTCAGCTCTTTACGTAGCCTCTCATTTTCAGTAATGACTTTTTCCATTCCTTTGGTTTTAGATTCGTAATGCATACTCAGCTGGCCCCCAAGATCAAGTTTCATTTTTTTCATTTCAGACTGAATAGTAAATAGTTTGTTAAAACATATTTACATTACTTCAAATTTCCTTTTTTGAAGCACAGTTACAGTCACTGAATATAACTGACAGTTACAGTACAGACTGCAGACTGAACATTTCATCACATATTTAAATTTATCTTAACATACAAATTATCTTTACATAAATCATGCAGTACTTATGCTAATGAAATTTTAGTTCTGGCCACTTTTTTACTAGTCAACATCAACAACAGGCTTGCTGTTCAATTTTCCTACTAATTTGTATATGAACTCCTATTTGAATATACTACTTAAGATAAATCAGTACCTTTAGCCTCTCATTTTCCTGTTCAAGACCAAGTAATTTCTCATTAGAAACCACAGCTGGAGCTTTTTTCAGATCTTCATTTTCTCTTTGGACTCTCTCTACCACCTTTTTCATCAAACCAATAGTTTTTTCCAATTCCGGGACTGTCTTTCCACTTCTGCCAGCCTGTGCAGAAGAAAAAGAAAAGATACAACACAACCTTCTAAGATACTTCAATTCTTATTTTTATGGCATATTTTCCATTTTATCATATTCATTATAAAGTTGTTAAAGTTTAGCGTCATTTGTATCCTCAAGATTCTTGCATACTTAACTTTCCAAAAGATCATTCACCTCCACAGTCAAATTATCAGCTCCCTCAACTTGTTACCTAAAAAAGCAGCAGTTAAATCTCAAAATTTTATGTATTTTATAAAATAAAATGAAACAGTTTAAGGATAAATCAAAGTAGTAGGTTTTATTTTGCTGTTAGGTTTTTTTTGTTTAGTTGGTTTTGATTTTTTATTTTTTTAATTGTTTTTCTTGTAGAGCAGTTTCCTGATCCAACTGACTGTGCAACTGCTTGAATACTAACACTATCTAAAGGGGAAAAAAGAAGTAGTGACTACCTGTGAGCTTAAAGGACTAAAAAAGGGCTTTATTTTTATTATTTTTTTTAAACCAACTATACTTCTACAAATTAAAGTGGCAAAAGAAATACAGCTTATGCATATGTAAGTTTAAAAAAAAAAAAAAAAGGCGATCCACAACTATTTTCTCTATTTTTCTTCAACCATTCTATTTATGAGGTAGAAAAGTACTTAAAGAGTGTTCCTTAATTTATTTATATTCTTTGCAGCAATGGACTTCCTCAGCAATAACAATTTAAAAATGCTGCTGTTTCCAATTTTGGGGCCAGAAGTACCTCTTCTCCACAGAGGTAAGAACCACAGAAAAAGGGGAAGATTTTAGGAGCCCTGTATAAACATACACAGTGAGGCAAGTTTTGGAAGTGAAAATTACTTCTTTCTTCTCAAAAAGCTCTGAAGAGATTAAAAGCTTTGTGGCTGTACACAGCAGAACCAGAAAAACCCCTAACAGATCTTTGTGTCTGAAAAGGAAGTTTCAGAATTTGCTGCCTCCTCAGAATCCTTGAATGAAGCAGTTTTACAGACTGAACTGCCTTATCCAAAAGCTACAACCGCCTAAGATACAATTCTTTCCAGGTACCCCAAAGCAGAATTCATTCTCCATGTATAATTCAAGGCACTTGCTTAATTCTGCTTCACACAAATAAATTTGAGAAGTCAGCAAAAGGAAAGGCACTCAGCATTACTGAAGCCTTTTTTCCTGTAACTTTTCAAATTCTCAAAAAGCAGCTGACAATGGCTAACATAAAATTTGTGCAGTCTTGCATAGTAAAACACCTTCACTAACAAGTTACATTAACATCTGCATCAAATAAAAAAAGCTTTTATAAATGTAGTTTTTATTACAAAGGCAGTAACTCCTCTTTTTGGTACAAACATGATTCTGAAAACAGGTTTAATGCAAATGACAAAACAAAGCTTCAATACTGCAAATATTTAATATAGTGGCTCTATTCATTCTAATGGTCCTAATGACTGAATTTTATTAATTTGTTGTAATACTTCAACAGTAAAATAAACAAGAACATTCACTGATTGCTTTCAATTCATTCAAAATAATTTACCTTAAATATTTTTTCATATAATGTAACTGTGATGAAAAATGTTGTTGCAGTACTCACCCCTCTAACACTGCTTAGTTTTCTTTCAACATCGACTTTCTCCTTTTTGAGAAGTTCACACATTTCTTTTAAGTCACTTACTTGGTCCTAATAGAACAAAGTAATAAGGAACTTATTTATTTAGATTTAAGTTTGAGATTAAGAAACAAAGTTACAGTTGGTTTTATTAAAAAAAAAAACAAAACAATTTCCCATTACAGTGAAATTTTTAATAATTTCTACCAAGCTTTCTTTTATCTTACATAAGAACATGAGGAACACAGAAAATACACAAACATCATTTTCTTTGTACAAAATCCACTAACCTGTGCCAGGTTAAAGGGGACAAATGGTAAAGAGATGTTACCTTTAGTCTTGGCAAATCTCTGTTGGCTTGCTCTAGCTGGAATCTTAGCTCAACGTTTTCAGACGATAATCTTAAATTTTCCTTTAGAACCTCTTGTTCTCTTCGATATTGATCATCTGATCCTACTCCTGAGGTCTTCAGAAAACAGGAAAAAATAATTATTATTAAATCATAGGACACTATTTGCTGCACCAGTTGTAGCTGATAACAGATGATTAGTATTTTGCACAGAAAAAAAAATCAAAACAAAATGTTTACCATCTTTTTTGGAATTTTTTCTTCACAGACATTTTGTGGCATATAACTGATCAGAGTCGTATCACCAACGACCAAGATCTAACCGATTTTGTCTTAGGGACATGGTTTAGTGGGGCATGGTGACAATGCACTGACAGTTGGAGTAGGCGATCTTACAGGTCCTTTCCAACCTTAATGATTATATGATTCTGAGATTCTAACTATTTTTCTTATATTTTCTAAACTTGATTAGCCTTTACAAAAAGCTTACAAATGAGCATAAACTCATAAAAAAAACCCTGCCAAACAACAATTAATTATCAAACTATTGGTTACAAATGAACTTTTGTCTTTTCTAAGACACAAAAGGTGCTGAGTATAGTAAACTGCTGAGACACTACCTGGGAACAAAATCTAATTTTAAGAACATATTCTGATATGTTTATTAAATACTTCATATAGCATAAGAATTTAAATGAGGTCAAATAGATCACTGAACAAATAAGTTCCTATATTTTAAGACTTTACCCACAGAAGCTATAACATAAAAAGTGTTTTGCATGCCAATTGCAAGTGTAGGTATATGAAAAATTATTAGCTAATATTAGTGAAGATGAAATCCTTTTGACGATACAATAATCTGTAGGTTTTATTTATGTAATTATGGAATTAACATGTGAACCATTAATGCACTGTTAAGATAATATGAAAAAAGTACTGTTTCAGTATAGGACATTTTTTCTAAAGGTATGTAATATCACACTATAAGTCTCTAAAGAATGATCATTGGGCTGCATGCATCATTATGATTATTTGTAAGCTTTTTGCATCAAAACTATAGAATTGACAACTTAGCTGAGAGCTGACACAGAAATGAATTGTGAAAGTGTAAGATTTGTTTTTATGAACTATTTGGTAATGACTTTAATATCACTGCAGACCATTCAAAACTATTCTATGTCACTTCTACAGAAAAAATGCAAGAGGATTGCTACAGTATCCAACCTCAGGCATTTCACAGGGTTTTGGGGTTGTTTCAATTCCCTCTGTATCACTTAGGTAAGTTTCACATTTATTCTCTGCGGTGTGTTGATTAATTTCTTTGATTCTTTGTCCTTCATCATCATTAACTTGATTAGAAGGTTCTCCTGAATAAAAGTGATTGCAGCTCCTTCTGTCAGGATAAAGCTCTTGTACACTTTCTTCTTCATCAGCATTTGATTGCTTGCATATTTCTTGCTTTCTGTCCTCCTCTTCAAATTCCTCATTACTTTTTCTATTCTCAGGCTGTGCTACATCTTCTTCGTTATTACTGCAATTCTCTTCACCATCTTCAGCTGTACTGTTGCTTTTCAATCCTTCCCGAGAAATATCTGCATCTTTGCACTTTTCATTATCTTCAGGACGCTGCTGCTCAGGACTGACTTCTGTGCCTGCATCCCTGGTAGCCTCATGGCTTTCATTATGCACAAAGGAACTTTGTATGCTTGCTTCCTCATCTATTTCATTGTTATCAGAAGTGCTAAGATTAGTCTCATGTTTGATTTCATCTCTATTTGAAACAGATTTCTTTGGAAGGTAATTCAAACGCTTCTTTTTATTGACACTGACAGGAAGAGACTCATTCAGTTCAGTTTGATAATATGCACTCTAATTCAAGTTGAGGACAGAATGAAGCATGCAAGAAAAGCAGAAGACAGTAAAACAAAAGAAGAAATAAAGAAACAGAATATACTGTTGAATCTATGTCCTGAAGAATTAAGAAAATGTAGTAACTCAATATTCACAATACAGTTAACTTTGTACAAATCAAAGCAGAACAAACCACATCTAATGTAACAAATGCAGCTAAAAATCTCCTCAAACTCTGCGCGCCGCATTTTTCAGTCAACATGGTGAATAAAGTAGTCACTCAGTTGCAGACTCACATTTTTGACAATATATATCCCTTATTTCTCCACTATAGGAAATGGAGTATTTCAGCTTCTACCATTTTAGCAGAACTCAGAAACTAGTTCTTTTTTCCTATACAAGAAATTTCATATTCTGTTTTTGAACAATGATTATTTGAAATAAAATTTCCCAAATGATATAGAATAGTAACAGATAATAAATATTTTTGTTAAGGAGGTGCAGTGATGATGGAGTCATATTACTAACTTACCGAGGGCCTAGAATATGTCTCTCTTGAACACTGTCTCTGCAATTCATGAAGCTTTTCCTGAAGGTATTGATTTTTTAAATGTAATTCTTCTACAACAGAATCCCGTGGAATTGCTTGCTGTGTTCTACATCCAAAAATGAATCAAGCCAAAATAAAAAATGGCTATTAATACAGAACAGCATACCTTTATGTAAAACAAATGTGAGCTTCTGGCTTCTGGACTACTGGACTGAAACTTCTAATTTTAATGGACTAGTCATACTAAATCAATGTTATCCATATACACTACTTCAGCCAATCTCCATGAATCAAAAGTACCTATTTTGGGAAAAGGAATCTGCTCTTTTAAGATGTGTACACCTTCTATTACTGAGGTACACTATGCACTGCAATAATGGATATAATGATTAGGAACAGACTCCATAACTACAACATCTAAGTTCCAGAATCCTTCATCAACTTGGAATTATTACAACTTCACTTAAAAGGAGTCATATATTTTTAAACTGTTTCACTTTTAAAATAACGAAACAATGTTGTATAATCTCTGTACGTGCACAATTGCTCCCTGGAAACTTTAAGTTTGTTCCTCACAGACTCATAGAGCTCTTGCAACCTGGTCGGATTTTTTGTGTTGTTTTGGTTTGTTTTTTTTTCTTTTCTTTTCCTTTTTTTTTTTTTTCTTTGCTAATTGTATCATTACTGTATCACAGAACTAATGGATCTTTACACAGATCTTTTCTCATTTTGATGAGAAAAACTTCTTTACGAAAGTGTTGTTAAGCACTGCAATAGGCTCCCCAGGGACATGGTTGAGTCACCATCCCTGCATGTGTTTAAAATCCATTTGGATGTGGTGCTCAGAGACATGATTTAGCAGAGGGTTGTTAGAGGTAGAGTAGTATGGTTACACTGTGTTTAGACTCCATGATCTATGAGGTCTTTTCCAACCTGAGCAATTCTATGATACTATGATTTCATATTTTTTACAGATTTTCTTGAAATGCCTCTCACCTCATGTGAGCAACTTCATTTTCTAAATTTAAATTCCGCTTCCTTAGTTCATCCAGTTCTTTTTCAGACTCTGAAACTCTTACTCCAACAACACGGTCAACAGTAACACCAGTATTTTTCAGTTTCTTCTGAAGAGTACTTTTCTCTTTTTCAGTCCTACAAGATGCAATAAAATAGAAGCTAAAACTTTATTTGCATTAGCTGACTTGCTTTCTTTGGGAGAAAATTTATTTCCTACCAGAAATCTTGTAATTTATTTTGTCACTGTACTGCACCACTCTTTTCTTTAGTTAAAGTTACCATACAAATAGTGACAGCTTTACATAAATAAGTAAATAAATAAATAAATAAATAAATCACAAATACTGGAAAAAATAGCAACTGTGAAGTTAACAGCACTCTAGTCACAAGCCATTTGTTGTTCTTGCCTGTGTTTTGTCTTAAATTCCTGAGATTTGCTCTAACCTCAGACAAATGCCATTTTGAAGCAATTCCAATCAACAATCTAACAGTTACAACTACCATCATTTGGAGGTCATCACCAACCATCATCAATGCAATCCTGCCATTACTGTACTGAAGTAAACTTAACTTTCATGGAAGCCATACAAATGTTGTTGTTTTTTTTGTTACCTTTTGTTTAAAAAAAAGTTTGTCTCATCATGCTAGAACCGTCAGTACTGCAGTAGCATAACACAATAGTGGCACACCACCCACTCTAATAGTCTGATTCAATAACATTGAGGTAAGATTCAGTCCATTTCGCTGAAACTTTTACTTGTTTCAGGGAAACAACAGAACACCACATACAAGAAGCATAATAAGGCACATAAATGAGTTTTATTCATAGACAGTTAATTCTATAGGTGTAGAAGAAAAGAAACTTTGTGGTTTTTTTCTGCAAGTGAAAGGATACTAAAGGAGTGGCCTGCTGCCTGAAAATTAAACAATTATTTTAATCTCAATAGCAATATCAAATGTAGGCATCCGTCTTGTAATGAACTGGTATGATTATGTGGCAAAAATATTTGGATTTCTCCTATGCCATCACTTTGTAGAAGAATGTAAGAAAAACAACTCACTTGGAATAAAGTTCCTTCAGTGTGGTTAACTGTTTAGCTAAAGTATCGGTTTCCTTTTCCTTTTCTTTAAGTTTGTTCCGCATCCCTTCCATTCTGATTTGCCATTTTTTACTTTCTTCCCATCTAATTATTTCCTCTTTTGAGGTCTGTGAAGCACATACACAAATTACGTATTTCTTTTCAAACTGTTTTCTTAAAGGAAACAAACACATTGGAAAACCATGCACAGCATATTTTACATTTTAAAATTTGAAACATCACACCATAATTAGTAAAAATCAGTCCAAGCTGGATACTCTAAACTTGCTGCAGTAACTGGCATAAAAGGCTGATGCAATTTAATGTTATATTATCAAATTCTTTTTCACATTTTAATGTTCACTTAAAAGAAAAATAAAGTGACAGATTAAAAAAAAAATTATACATGCTTGTGAAATATATCCTTTTAATTTAAATTACAGGCTTGTAAAGAAGTTTGTAAAATTAAAGAAAAAGAAGGGCTTTTCTATGCCAATTTTCAGGATAGTTATCCGTTTCCTTGCAGCTCACCAGGAGGTTTTACGTCCTGCTGCAAAGCTGCCCATTTCTGTACTTTCTTACTATACTTTCTTACAGTTAAAATTAAGTGCTTCTAAAACACACATCAATTAAGAACTGTATGAAATGAATGTGATCACAAACGACTACTGAAAAATCATCCTGTAAACAACCGTTTCATTGTGTCACTGGATGTTTCTTTTCCTTCATTTCATCCCTGTACTTTCTGTCCTGACTTCACGCTAAAGTTACAGTTATTAAAAGACAGACAGAAAGTAAATTCTTGGGAAAAAGGAAAAAAAATAGTTTGTGAAAAATGTCTTTAAACACTAAGCAGTAAGTATATGAAAAATCTCAAACTAACTGGAAGCACAACTTTAGTCTTGAAATCATACTTAATATCATAAAGAGTATGAATGATTACTGTGACAAGCCAGTATTTAGTTACTGAAATGGAAAAATAACAAGCAGAAAAACAAACAATGGTAAAATGAACACATCTCCAGAACATCATAACTTCCTGGAAGTGGAAACTGCTTTTGTGAGGAATAACCACTTAGATACATAATCACTTCCCACTTTTTGCTCTTCAAGTACTTCACATTTTTATCACTGCACTGATTTTGTAAATGAGCATTTAACTTCACTTACTTAATCAACTTCACTGCTACCTATAAAATCTTAGTTTTCTACAACCTGGGGACTTTTAATTCTACAAAAAAAAGGGCAGGAAAGCATTAAAATACAAGCACTTTGTACTAAGCAACAAACAGTAACTGTTGTTACTTTTGTTACTGTTTTTATTCCACAGGGAATACAAAAAAGTGACTGACATGAAACTGCTTTTGATTTGATCAAGTTTGGCTGGTTCATGGTTGTTTTAGGAGGCAGAGGAAAAAGCTGAACTGCCTACCTTTAGGATGATATCTTTCAAAGCCACGGTATTTGTATTTATCACATACCTTGTCTTCTTTTATACTTTTTTTTTCTATTTCTTCACACTTCTTCTCAAGTTCATTTTCCAATTTCTTAACTTTCTTCTGAAGTTCATCAACCAGATTTTGCTCACCAGCTCTGTTCTGGAAGATTGCAAACTCTCAACTTAAAGTTTAGTGACCACTACCTAAGTATTTTTCTCTCCACCAAAAATAAAGTTTTGAATTGGTAGAATTGGTATTCAATTGGTAGAAGTAGCTTACAACCTAAATGATACTTTAAAAATTATCTTTACTTCAACAATTAATTCAACAATTCGTTCAACA